ATTCCTGAGCAAGCATGGCTTGCTCAGGAATTCTGGGAGTTGAAGTCCATAATTCATAAAAGGGCCATAGTTGCCCACCCCTGGGTTAGACGCTGCACAATCCAACAAACAGCCATTAGCTCAGGGCTGTCAAACTCCTTGCCCACGCGCTGGATGCGTCACGTGCTGGCCACACCCACGCCCAGTTTAGCGAAGGGGGAAAAAAAATCCCAGTACATCATGCTGCCATGACGACATGAGTTTGACAGCTCTGCATTAACTTATATACAGTACTACTAAAACTCTTGTTTCTGTTTGATACTCTCTAGCCTTCAATTGGACAAAATGGTGCATCATACAGCAACAGCTATTGAATCAGCATACTTTAAAATGGGCCAACTTACAGTTTGCATCCAAAATCTGGGATCCATGGCTCCCGTGGGATTGAAATTTGACAACGTTTTAGTGCCATACTTTCCTGACTATACTTTCCAGGAAACTATAGGTTGCATGGCACAAGGAAAGATGCGAGGGGCACATACCTACCCTATTTCCAACCTCCCTCTGGCCCCTACGCCCAATTCAGAGGTGGGATTTTACTGGTTTGGCCCGGTTCTATAGAACCAGTAGCTCTGAAGAGCAGCTGACACCGAACCGGTTCGCTCTAAAGATCTTTTCTTTGGTTGGGCCCACCCGCCCGCCTGGGCTCTAGGCTGTCCTTTATTCCCTGCTAAAGCAACCTTGGTTGCTTTGCGCAGCACAGCTGAGTCAGCCGTGCATCAGCAGGTGGTTATTGCTTGTAGAAGTTGATTTACAAGGGTTGCGCATGCGCGCGCAGTGAACCGGTTGTTATGCCGGTAGGGTCCCACCCCTGGCCCAATTGGTTGGTAGCAAGACCTGACAGATAAGTGACCGCTGGCAGCTTTGAAACCAGGATCAAAATTTTAAATCTCTTAACGGCAGTGGCTAGTAAGGGAAGAATGAGGGAGGGATTTGGATCATAGGGTTGGTTGAAGTGAGCGTCCCCCTGGGGACATGCCAGAATGAGAAGCAGAGTGCAGTTTTCCTTGTGGTCCGTGACTCCCCTAGTTCTCCCTCTCCACAACAAAGTGGAAGGCAGTTCCACAGGTCAGCTGAGGGTAGGAGGAGGAGTTCTTCTGAGGACTGTGAATGGAGGGGAAAGATGCAAGCCTATCTTATATTTGGAAAGAGGAAGGACAAAGGAGTGACTGGGATGCCTGGGTAAGACTAGCTCGGATGTACCAGTGATAGTTGGGTCCTTAAGTCCTCTTCCTCTTTTTGTTCTCCCTCCCCCTAACAAAGTGATAGGCAGTTCCACGAATCAGCTGAGGAAAAGGAGGGAGGAAATTCACCAGGGCTCTCAAAGGTCACACGGGGAGGGGAAACAATGCAGGTCTACATTACATACAGGAAAGAAGAATGACCCCATCAGTCACAGGTTGCCTAGTTGTTTCCAAAACAGAACCAATTCTCCCTTTTCTCTCCCAAGTGACCTTAGCTACAGTTTTTTTGGATATCCTGGAAAAGCAACTGCTGCTGAAGACTTTTTAGACTACTTAAGACATCTGCAGTGAGATGCCCAGCAGACCAATATCCTTCCTGTTCTTGGTTCTCTTCTTCCCTCAGTTCAACAGGGCTATCAGATGGCAAAGAAGAACATCTGGAGATATAACCCTGATCTGACTGTACCGACTGTCTCTGAACTTTGGAAGCCTCATCAAACAACAGCTGTTGCTGCTCATTAACCTCCTCTTGGCAAAGGGGCATATCAGAGGGGATGACGCTTTGTTGATAGAGGGAATACATCAATCCCTCCAGTTGTTGCCTCACGTCAGCTGGCAAGGCTTGGGGATCTGAGGATAAATCCCCTTGAAGAATGACATCATTTCTTCTTGGGACGTTAGCTTCTATCATAGGCACACTTTCTAGCCAATCTTCATTGGTCAACAGTTTATGACTGAGTATCTCATTTTCTTCTGCAAGGGCAGTTGGATTGACCACCTGAACAGAAGGTGCCTCAGCAGGAATGACCAGAGTCTGGAATGCTAAATCTTCTTCGGACAGATGCTGAGGTGTCAATTTATATGCTCCCAAGTCATCTTCATTAACCAGAAGATTGACTAAGCAAGAGCTACTGGGGTCAGGTTCCTTTGGAAGCAGTTGCTTCTTAAGAATTCCTTTCCCGGGGAATATTAATTCTTCAGTGAGTTCCCCACTCAGAGATTGTAGATCATCTTCATCCTCCCCGCAGACCCGTTCATTTTTAAACCAATCTGGATGCTCAGCCTGCCATGTCTGGAATTTCTGCAAAGCCTCCTTCAGCTGTTTGCCACAGGGGCTTTCAGTGTACTTTCCAGGCGAGATGGCTGGAATCTGATGCATTCGCCCTGGCTCAAATTTTTCAAGATCCTGGATTAGGAAGTAAATTTCCTCAAACTTATCCATCAGCTGATATTTAGAGGTGACATGGAATGGGTCTGGGATGTCACTCTCGTTGCTTATGCCCTCAAAGTAGCAGATTAAATACAGTCCAAAGCAAGCTGGCTGCTTAAAGTCTGGTAAAATCAGATTCAGTGCTGGAGTGAACATGTCCCCTGTTGGCAGCAGATTATCTTGCTTCAGATGTACACTGGATTCCTGGTGCCCAAGCATAGCCTGCCACTTGGCTTGAGTACCTCGGGAACACAAGATGATGATCTTTGAAGACAGCGCTTCCATTTTCTGTTTCTGCCGAGTAAGCCAGCACACTGCTCCCATCTCAGATATCTGCTGTTCATCTAGCAGGTCTAGGATGACCTCTGTGCCACACACGGTGATCATGAACTGTGCAAATTTCAACACAATGTCTACATAGAGCTTGTGATCAGCAGAATACACAATCCAAACTGTACGTGGCTTGAGGGGTGGAGGAGGTTGTAACATAGGGGAAGTCAAAAGGGTATCTGGAAAGTCAAAAAGGTAAATATATAAAAAGAGTAATATTATGGTAACTGCTCCCTCCACCCCCCATACATGGAAAACAAAGGATTGTTACATGTATACATTACTGCATTTAATATTAAAATAATGGTCATTAGCTTCAGTTACCCAACTAAATATCTCCAATACCAGTGATATAGATGGAAGTTATTTTATTTCAGAAAATTGCAAACCTTGATGTAGAAATTTATTTATCCTGCAAAAAGTTGTGTCAGAAAGCAATAGTCCTTGATATTAATATAAACATTGCCCAGCCGATATTCAACCACAGAAATAGATGAACAGTTAATAACTGCGTAAGAATTGGTTTTGTCTGTGTTTGTGTGCATGTAACCAAAAGCACACATGCAACTTTTAAGAAAATTAGAAGTCAATACTGTCCCATCTAAGAGCTGAATCTAATCCATGTACCTAGATTATAAATCAATGCTGAGTGATAAAAAGTAAAAATTCAATACTGTCCCATCTAAGAGCTGAATCTAATCCACGTACCTAGATTATAAATCAATGCTGAGTGATAAAAAGTAAAAATTCTCTTACCTTGGAGTTCAAAATCACAGTTTTTTGCTGCAGAATTTAATGCTAGGAGGGAAAGAAGAACACAGAAAATGTTAAAGAAGGTAACATTGATCAAAAAGATTCAGATACTTTTGAAAAAGAAGGGATAACAATTCAATGACCTTCATCTGAGACTCAAGTGCAAGCAAAGAAAAGCAGGATCTTGAATAAAAATTTAAGTTTTCCTTGACACAACTGGGGAAACATAAATGAAATGCTGAAAAAATGGTGTCAGATTGACCTTGAAATTAAGATGACTGGCTATATTTAACAATGGGGTAGCATAAAACATTCCAACTGAATCTCTTTATAACAGTAGGCTATCTAAATTTTTCCCAAAAGGGCTGAAATTGAGCTTGAATGTGAGCTAACACAGGTGTAACAGAGCTCTAATTTCCTCTTTCCTCTTCTTCCTTGGCAGTTTTCGCAGTCTCTATCCTGTACCTTCCCTGTGGAATAGCATGGGTTAACAGGTGGGGAGACAAAGGGCAAAGAAAGGTATACCTGTAAATTAAGCAGAAAATTAAAACTCTTGACCTGATTTTTTCCCCCAGAAGTTAGCCTCTTCCCAGCCTGCAGTCCTCTACAAGGTTCAGCTTGTCTGCCAAACCTTGAAGGCTTTTTTGGGGGAAGCTTTCAGGGTAAGAAAATTAATGTCTGCTGCCCCACTGCACAAATCTGGTCCGACTCAAGAAAGTTATTCTGAAGGCAAAACACCCCTAAGCCCCAATTGTAGAACCCACCTTTTTGTCTTCGGGTAAGGTAGATTGCAGAACCAATAGCTGAAGAAATTAACAAAATGCAGATGATAGTGTGGATCCAAGGTAGCCCCACTGAAAATGTATCTGAAAAATAATAATTATAATTAAAAAAATGATAGGTAGCGTCATCAAACCAGGTAAGATTGCGAAGAATGTCTTGATGCGTAGGAAAGGCCACATTTTTAACAATCATGGACCAGGAAATAGCAGAACAATTTATTGTATTGGTTCTGCACAGTAGCTATTGTGATATTTAATATTTCAAATTCCAGTCTTCAGCTTAGCGCACTCTCAATGTGGTGTAACAGAGGGCGCATGTAAGTGCAGTCAGGCATCACACAACCTGTTACTGTATCCACCGAAACATTAACTTTCAAAAGAAAGTTCCTTTTCACAGGGCTAAAGTAGGTCAACTTTATGCAAAAAAATAATAATTCTTGATTCTGCTCAGGGCACTCAACCCAAACTCCACATTTTGTGGTACAAAAGCAACAACAGAATCATGTTTACTCTTTCTGGGAGAAAGTGCCATTTGTACCCCACTATCCTCATGGGAGTTGCTAAACTGAAGGAAAATGTTTTCAGAAAAAAGGGGAGGGGATTTGCTAAATCATCCAGATATTATATTTCCTTCATACTCTGAAATTTAGATATATTTCCATATATTAAAATACATGAATTAGGGGAGAATCTCCAGTTCTTAAGGTGCTACTCTGTACCAAAAATGACTCATTTCTAACTATATCAGATCACTTTCAAAGTATATATGCACCATTCATTCTGGATTGATTAGGAAGACTTAAGGCATCAGCAGAAGGACATTGGATTAAAAATGAGCGCCTCGGACAGTCTGTAGCACAGGCAGGGAAGAGTGGTTGGATCTGGTGAAAAAAGAGAAGAGATTATTATAGCAACTAGTTCAGTGCACAATCAGCCACCAGCTTTAAAAAGTATGTAGGACTATTTTTTTCTTGGCTACATTATATAAATAAAATGTAATATATTATACATTATTAGACAATACAATGCACAATATTATATTAATATAATGTAATTATACTACCATATAGTATAACGTACTATATTATTATATCCTACAATATTCTATTAATATAGTATATAATAGTATAGTAAACTTTTATTTTTTGTCCCATCAAGTCAGTTTTGAATGCTTGGAAGTGTCTCTGCAGTTTTCTTGGCAAGATTTTGAAAGTAGTCTGCCATTGCCTGCTTCTTCCTAGGACTGGCCAAGGTCACCCAGCTGGCTTTGTGCCCAAGGCGGGACTAGAACTCACTCTCTCCTGATTTCTATTCTGGTACCTTAATTGCTACATCAGATATGTTCTCAAATAATACACTTTTTATTATTATTGCTATTATTATTATTATTGATGATTTCTAAATACAAACTGATAAAGATAACACACCAAATATAACTCTGGTTGAAAAAAAAAGAAAACGTGGATAAGTGATGTGTCAATACCAGGGAATGGTAGAAAAGAAAGAATTGGAGAAGATCACAAATATCAAGGTCTGAAAAATTAAAATTGAAAGATTATGGTATATAAACTGGCTGTGGTTGTCCCAGTGGTTATTGGCACAATGGATGCCATACCAAAAAAAAATCTTAGATAGCACTTAGCATCTGTACACCAACAAAATTTTGATTTGTCAATTACAAAAGCTACCCTGCTTGGATCTGTGCATCTACTATGCTGATACGTTATGATTATCCTAGGTTCTTGGGAAGGACTTGAGGCATATGAAGGCCAAGCATAACTGGAAGAACTGGCAACTGTAACTGTAAAAATCCCCAGACTAATCCACAGTTCTCACTGAGGTCTGACCCTACTAAGCATCTGGATGCAGGCAAAGTCCCGCAGAGTTAATGCTAGATTATTATTTTTTAAAAAAAGCCTAAAAAAACATTACAATTGGGTGGGACAGTGATCTGGCAGAAGCCAAGAGAAACATCCATAGGCACACTGATGTCCATGAGCTCCATATTGCTACTCCTAGCTAAGAGTGAAGCGGATGTTGTCTGAAGCAAAGAGGAGCATGCAGCGGATTTCCCTTAATTCATTTCTGATATGAAAGGACTCTTTTTCTCTTTTGATGTTTCTTCTTCAGTTTCTAGCACTTCAAAGGAACATTTCTTACTTTAAAAGACTACAGATGCCCAAAGAGCCAAAAAGGAGAGAAATCTCTAAAATAAGTGAACCAACACTGTCATCTCTGTTGCCGCATGTTAAACAACTCAGGATTCTGTCAACTCATTCACCACCACCCATAACCTGAAGTTTTAGCAGGTGGGTTAAAAGGCTAAACAGTGCAGGGCCTACTTAGTATTTGGATGGGAGGTTATTAGGAAATCCCAGCACTGGAGATAAAATTGGATAGTAAAAAAAAAAAAAAAATCACAGAAGAAAGCAAACCAGGTTTTTTTTACTGTTGTTGATCACCAGGAGCTGAGCTTAACCTCTGGAGAATATCCTAGTTTTCTCCCCGCCACCGCCAAGATAGTCCTTGATTTATGAACACAATTGAGCCTATAATTTCTGTTGTTAAGCAACATGGTTGTTAAGTGAGTTTTGCTCCATTTTATGATCTTTGGTGCCATAGTTGTTAAGTGAATCACTGCAGTTGTTAAGTGAATCATGCAGCCATTAAGCAAATCTGCCTTCCCTCATTGACTTCGCTAGTTGGATGCCGGCTGGGAAGATTATAAATGATGAACACACGGTCCCTGGACAATGCAACCATCATAAATACATGCCAGTTGCCAAGCACCCAAATTGTGATCATGTGACCATGCAGATGCTTTAAGGGTCCTAAGTGTGAAAAATGGTCATAAATCACTTTTTTCACCTTCAAATGGTCACTAAACAAATGTTGGTAAATCACCTGTAACTGAATGTGACTATTAACACGGAATAAACTATTGTTTTATATTACAGAAGCCAATAAAGCTAAACCTACCTCCACTTTGTATTTGCAACAAATCTTCAAGTTCCTTTCCAGCTTGACCGTTACATTAAGGCGATGCTGCAGACCCTGCTGCAGAAATCAAGAGGCACAGTTGAGACAGGACCAGCAACAGCAGTGTGATCAATCTAACTATATTGCACCTTTTGGGGTAACTAAGCGGGCTCAGAAACAGAAACCAAGGGGACAATTGTGTGTTATCATAAAGCAGCGAATAGATTCAGGACTGCTCCTGCGTGGATGTGAGGGGCAGCTGTTGTAGTTGTGATGCACTGGTGCATTTTTCAATAGCTACGCCAACATGAAATTAAGTAGCATTGCATAATCTGGAGTGGCTGATCACATACAAACATGCAGATAAGACTACTGTTCTGCTGCCTCTTTCATGTGACTAGGAAGAAAAAGCAATAAATTGCCGCTTCTTCTATTCAATTATTCTGAAATAATTTCTTCTTTTCCAATAAACAGCAAAACATTTTTCCTGGTTTGCTTGGAAGCAGTTCTGGTTTAAAGGCATATTGAAAAAGCAGATTTTTGCCCAGCACACCATTCAAACCATTTTTTTAAAAAAAAATTCCCTTAAAGGAAATAAAAGTAGCATAAAATTCTAGATTCTAACAAGGTGCAAATGCAAAAGCTGTCTCAATCTTGTAAAGAAGCAGGTGTCTAACTCTCATAATTTGCTATTTATGTAGAATTCACATTTTGTAGTAAACCATGTTTTTTTTAAAAAAGCTAAAATTCCAGATATGCTAGGTGTTGGGCTTTTGTTATTGGGAAGACAAGAGTTCTGATGGATTGGTAAGTAATGGTAACCAAGAATTGCTAAAATAAAATTAAATGCCTGGAGGAGAAAACAAGTGGAGCAAAACTGATTACCTCTGAAATGCTTTCTGTGGCCTTCTTGCACTCTTTTTCATCTTCCCGAACACTGATTACATGGATAATGTAGGTGGCCGGTATTTCTGCAGGGTCAAAGCTCACCAACACAGAATGATCATCTAGACTTGTTCCATTAATTCTGGGTTCCCACAAACTCCCTAAATGCAGAAAACTCATCAATGACATCAAATGGCACTGCTCATGGATGCAGGCAAACACCTGAAAAAAAGCATACCTATTTGCAGACACGGTTCTGTTTTTTTCATAGTAGGATGTGTGCAATCTGCAATGTAAAAGAAAGAAAAAAACCAGAAAGATTGCATCTGTGTTCTGAAAGACAGTACTGGCTAAATTGACTACTTCAATTTGCAAGTAGCGTGAAAAGAGCTATGCTCAAATGTAAGCCAACCATGAAAAGATGATTGGGCTAAAACTATTACTTTACATCATTAGAAAAAACTGCATTAGAGTTACAGAAGAGGTAATGTAATTTTTAAAGAAAGCACATTTCAGATAGTCGTTTCACAGACTCGCATTGCATCATCTAACACAGGGGTGTCAAACTCAGGGGGTGCTTAAATCTGGCTTGTGGGACTGCCCTGGAAACAGGAAAGGACCAGCTTGCGGTGCCTCTGCCAGCAAAAACAGAGCCTGGGGTCGTCCCCCCCCCCCCGGGCCCTGTTTTAACTGGCAGACAGCTATATGAGGTCATTGTGACCAAAAATGGGGCCGGGAGGGTGGGGGCGCATGGGCTACCAAAACAAACTAAAAACAAAACAAAAGGAGAAATGTTTCCCCTTTTGCATTTGAGCATACAAGAAGGGACAGAAAGGAGAAAGGGAAAGAAGAAGGACAAAGAAAAAGAAGGAAAGATGGAAAGAGAGCAAGGAAGGAAAAAGAAGGAAAGAGGGGAAGGAAGAAGAATGGAGAATGATTAGAGAAGGATGGAAGGAAGGAAGATTATAATGAGAGGGAGGGAGGGTCTGAGGGAAATCCTGCCTTAGCACTAGGCCATCACAGGTGCCCCCAAAACGAGTAATGTTGAGCTGGCCATGCCCCCTGAGGTCAAACGCAACCTTGCAAACTGCAACTTTGAATGTGCAACTTCCATACTATGTAGGCTTTGTTTATCAGTAAATTCTTCTTCATATCCTGGGAAGTGCAGGATATCCTAGTGTCAACTGGTGGAAGTAAAGATGCTTCATTTACATCTCCATTTTTAAAATTCTGTATTTCGGATGAGCCTCAGATTGCCTATATTTTTTCCCCCAAGCAGATAGTTGCCAAACTCCTAAATTTTGATCATGTGAACAGAGGGATGCTGCCATAGCTGTAACTCAGTAGTCTGGATCTAAGGACCACTATGTTAGTACTGCTATAACTTTGAACAGTTGCTGAACTGAACTGGTCATTAACTGAGGACCTGTATAGACATGAGGCCCCTGTAATGGTAACCCATTGCTTACCACCTCCCAGATCAAGTACTGCAATGTACCGCAGTATATAGGGCTGTCTTTAAAGACTATACAGAAGACACAGTTGGACAGAATGCAGTGACCTGCTTCTTAGCATGTTGGCCATATAACACTAGCTCTGTAGGTACACATTAACTTCTGTAAGCATGACTGCCCCCTTAGGTAGAATCAAGCTAGCTGGTGCTTTCATCCTCAGACAGTGTTGAGAGTCATGCCCATCAAGTTGGGAATTTATGTCCATACATTTTAAAGTAGCCAAAGTTGGAAAGTGCTGATCTAGGAGTTGGACTGTCATTAAAAAAAAATCTGTAAATAAATATATCATAAAAGTGTCCCTTACTTGGTACTGTGAATGGCTTTGATCTCCTGTTATAGTCCCCTGGAGTACTTAATTTGGGCAAATGATAGACAGTTACTTGGTACATTTGGCCTGGTTGTACCTCAAAACGGTTGAAGGAGAAATTCCACTGAAACAATATAAGGAGAAACATTTTAAAAAATATGCAGTGAGTCAATGCAGCGACTTATAACACTGACCTTATATGAAATTCTGTACTAGAAGAAAAGAAAATTCACAAGCCAGATATATACGAGCACTTAGGCAGAGCAATTCATTTGGTTCAGATCTAGTTATCTGAATTTGAATGATCCCTGTTTCATCACGAGCATTTTCCCCTGATTTGGGGAAAGAAAAGTAAGGAGTTGTTTCTCCATAGCCTCACAGAAATCCATTCCTTTCATCAAGTGTGGAAACATATAACATATTCTAACACAGGTACTTTTCTTCTGCTTTCCTATAATGAAAGGGAAATGAGGATTCTCTTCACAATGTGGAATCGTGTAAATATGAATTCATATTATTTTATGTAGAAGGTACCTAATATTGCTTTAGCCTAAACAAATGTTAGCTTTTAAAAATAGTCTAAGTCAGTGGTCCCCAACCTTTCTGGCTTGACAGCCTGGGGGGAAGGGGGGGAGAGGATGGTTCCATGTGAACGGTAGGTGCAAATCGAGCTTTGTGTGTGAGTGTCTGTCACTCACACAAGTGGAGCTGTATGCGCTCACCCGCCACTTGTGTAGCCTGGTTCCAAATGAGCCATAGCCCACTAGTGGGCTGCTGCCCTGGGGTTGGGGTCTCCTGGTCTTGGAAGTAAATTCAGACGTCATACTCTCTTTCCCATATTTCTGATAAAACACAGTGGACAGTGACAAAACTGTGACATTAAAACAATGGGTTAAAAGATTTATAGGCTGGCAACAGAAGTCATGGGAGAGAAAAGCATTCTGGGGTAATCAATTATATTTGCTTCCCATGAAGGTTTTTTCAGTCTGTGACCTCTTATTCCAGGACATCCAGAAATGTTCAGTCAATGCTGTTAAAAAAGAAGTTGCAGCACTGTGTTGTAATACCTCCTTAAGATGAGGAACATAACATAGCTGGTTTTACATCAAACAGAAATGGAAGCAACAATAACCAAATGTATAAGTTTAACTGTTTCCTGCTTGTAGCTTGGCCTTTTCTCAACCCTTCTCCTGGAACAGGTCATATTTATTTTTTCTGCACTGCAGCATAAACCATATAGTTATTCCAACACTAGCATTTCACACACAGTAGAGGTCATACCAAGTCATCTATGCTTGCAGTATGTAACAGACCATGTTCTTAATTACAAGGTTTTTCTTGCAAGCACCAGGTTATTATTTGGCTAGCAAATGTCATACTTTCTTTAGCCAATATACTGTTAGTTATTTACTTTATTAAATGCACCAGGCTGTCCAACTCCATTACAATTCTATTTGATTCAAAGAAGGCAAAGTATAAGTTTGTAAAACTTTCACAATTCTTACCCGGCCCCCATTGTCTGGACGGACTTGGAACGTCAAGTTATTTTGAAAGTCAAATTGAGCACAAATCTGCTGGTTATTGCTTAATTGTACTACAGCCAATTCTGCTCCTCTGAGGTATATGATGCTTGCTATTGTTGAAGAGAAGGAGAGACATAAAAACATTGGTAAAGAGATCTCTCTTTATATCCTTTGATTATGCTGCAAGCTAAACTATAATAAGATAAATAATCCAGAAGCAGCCTGCAGTGCAGGAGGTTAGGACAAACATTAAAAAAAGTATTCCTTCCCCCCAACTGTGCAAAATTAAGTTATAGTGTTCAGTCCAGGAAATGGAGAATCATGGGTGAGAAAGACCAACGATCACATCCAGCATAAAGAAAACAAAGACTTGTTCAAACATTTTGATTTTATTCTATGAAAAGAAAACAATACATACTGACATGCTATACTGGCATTTTTAATATTCATCTCCAAATTACTCTAAATTGTTTACATTTTTATTCTGAACTATTGTTATCTGAAAGAAAAATTAACCCCTCCCCCAATAATTTACCTTTAAAATTGGAGGGTACCATGGATTCACTACAAACATAGTAATACAGGCAGATTAATTTTTTCTCTGTTTTATAAGGAGGTATCTTAGAATCAGGGTTATTTTTTCTTTTGAGAAACTATTGAATAAATATTTAAAAACACCACCAGTTCATATTATTACTAAACTCCCAAACTAGCCTCTAAAACATGATGAGATAGTTCTGGCTACTATAACTTGTCTAATAGATAACGATACATTTTTACATGCCGTAAACATTGCAGTTTTATATTGCTTTCTTCCTCACTTACCATCAGTAGCCACTTTCCACTCTATCTTCAGCACAGGGACCAATTTCCCATCTTCAGTAAAAAATGTATCAATAAATACGTCAACAGAACTTGGGGCTGAAGGAGTCCATTTCCAAGAAAGGAGCCAGCTCTCATCCACACAGTAACCTACAAATTTGATGGAAATTAATTCAGTCCCACCTTTGAGATAGCAACTGATTTTCCTTTGGACTATAACATTCTAGCTGCAATGCTTCCTCTCAAACTTTCAGTGCAGCAGAAGTTACTGAATACAATCTACTGCATTACAACACTCTTTAGAAAAGCTAAGAAAAACAGAGTTAAAAGGTGAACCCAAGTGAGCTTACACATTATTAGTGTCCACATTGAATAGTCAATACTCCACATCAGGGGTCGCCAACCTTTTGGACCTTAGGGACCACCAAACTCATACTTTTAAATCCCGGGGACCACTAATATAAATTTTGACTGACAGTGCCTTGCTGACGGTGGTGGGAGAGAGAGAGAGAGAGAGAGAGAGAGAGAGAGAGAGAGAGAGAGAGAGATCTGTTCTAACCTCCCCCCCCCAAAACACACAGAGGCAGGGGTGGGATTCAAATTTCTTAACAACTGGTTCTGTGGGTGTGGCCTAATTTAGGGGGGGGGGCTTGGTCATGTGACTGGCTGGGCATGGCTTGAATGTAAATATTATAAATATTTATATAGATATAGAATTTATTTATAAAAAAGAACAACTTTTACCCAGCTGGTGACCACAGTTTCACATAAGTTTCTATGTTTCTTAGTTCTGATAACTCTGGAAGATTAAGAAAGCCTATTCTAAAAGATACAGATTTTAAAAAAAATTATGATGAAATGCACGTTAAAAGATGTAGCTGGACACATGCCATTTAGAGTAAGAATTCCATAGTAGGGTATAGATATGGATCATTTAGAGTATCGTTACATTTCATTCCAGACAAAAAGATGCACTTTGGGTTAATTTTTGGAAAAACAAGCTTATTGTATATTTCTTGATCTAGAGAAAGCATATGATAAACAGAATACAATTAAGTTATGGAACATTTTATGTGAATATAGAGTTGGCTCCATGCAGTAAAAGTAATGTATGCAGAAAAATAAAGCATACATGTGAATAAATAGAATGCCGAGTGAATGGTTATTTGTTTGTTGTATTTTAGATGCATGCATAACCAATGCTTGTGGTGATATTAGAGAAGGTTGTGGTTGTGGATGTGAATGTATCAGTATTTTCATATGAAAATTATATTGATCCTTAACTCATTTGAACTAAACATGAGAAATAGCTACCTCACAATTCCTCCTGCTGAAATATCAATCAATTATAAAATGTTGCACAGATCAGAGTTAGTATTACAGTTCTAAAATAAGCAAAATTAATTAAGGGGGGAAACAAAAAAAAGTGCACCTACTGTTTCGCACAAGGCAGCGTAAACCCTACAGGAGAAAACATAAATATATTACTAAAAAAAGTCTTAAGAGTCATACAGATCATGAATGTTACTTCACCTCAAAATGGTATTAAATTTTATTAATAGTTTTTCTCATGTATATTTTTAACTCAAAAAATCCTATCCCCCATTTAACAGATACTAAGCTTAACAGACACATATTTATTTATTAGTCTATTAAGCTGGATATTTATTAAATGAATTTTCACCTACAACAACTTTAACATATTTAAAAAGAATGTATTTTTTGGTCATCCATGTGATGATAAATGTATTCTAATTTAATACAAAAAATAAATGAAATATGTGTGAAATAAATTCATCACCAGCTATGTTGCTGAATCATTATATATGAGTATTATCTTGGTTATATGCAAATACTCCTATAAAAATAGGCAGAATAGTTAAGATAGATCACAAAGATAAAAATTGACATTTATTTTCCTGTTAATTCTATTTCTGTATGATTCAAGTGTATATTGAAAGTATTTTTACAAACAGATTAGAGTGGCATCTTTCCCTTTTAAACTCTAAGAATTCAAATAAGTAGCATAAAAGTAATCAGAATGTCTTATTGTAGGAACAAAGAATGACACGCACAAGAAACCTAAGTATTTTTTAAAAGGGGTAGGGTTTTCACTATTTTCATATTGTTGATCTCCCCCTTATAGTTGCCCAAATTCCCAGGGTAACTTTATGCAAAACACTCAAAGCTTTAGCTTTTCTATCCTTAGGAAATATTGAGAGTGGCTGAAATGATTATTTAGTCAAAAATCCAGTTACCAGGACACCATATTTTAATACGTCAGTAAGATCCTATTTTGATCCTAGTATATGTAGAGAATGTTTACTTGCTTGCCAAAATTTCCCAAATGTCATCTATATGCAAATTATATATGTCATCTCTGCTGTAAGAATCATTCACAGATATATGGAGGGTCAACCTAAAGTACCATATAATATCCCCAATAACATTCTGTTACTACTTCCATTATGGTGGTGTTCAACATAAACATAGTTACTATGAGATTTTGCAGAGCTTATACTGTAAAAGAGGTCCTATTACTGTTACTGTTCTGTATTGACACATACTTCCTGTATATTGCCCCAGCTTTTCAAAACTGTGGTTAGGGATGTTTACATATTTAGCCTTAGTCAGTCACATCATTGCTGTGTGATTTCAGCCAGATTAACAGTAGAAAGAAAGAAAGAAAGAAAGAAAGAAAGAAAGAAAGAAAG